AGAGTTTTGAAACTTCTGATTAAAGCTGAATTTTCTGAATTATTAATACAGTATTAATTAAGTTGTAAAACAATGCGTAAAGAATCCCATTAAGATCGCTTGTTGCAAATCCAAAAGCACACAGTTTTATTTAGTTTTCAATGCCCTTTCTTATGGTGTCCTTCAAAACAGAAAATTATGGCAAAAGTTTTCTATAACTGTTGATTAATAATGATCAATAATAATTAATAGTTAATTAATTATTAATTATTATAACCAATTGTTTTTCGAAAATATTTATACTGAAATGTAGTCCGTTCAATTATCGATCCAATGATATATTTTTGAAACGTTTTCTATCTTTCGACAGCGGCAAAATAGAGAAAACACAAAAAGTACCTTAAAGTTTCTTTCAACAGACAAAAACAATTTCTGTCATAAAAATTGAACCGGCTCACCGTTGATGTTTTTGACATGATAGATTTGTAGCTCTTTCCGAGAACTATCAAAATCGCTATTTGGACATCCATTGCAAGTGGTCTTTGCCAGAAAAAACGAAGAAAAAAAGTGCCTTAAACTTTTTTCCGCCACTTAACAGCTGTTCTCACATTTTCTATATACTCAGCAAACTTGTGACATTTATCTGTAAGTGGTCACGAAGTTATTGAAAGGTGCAGTTAAATTCCAGTGAAGATAAACCTGGCAACTGTTGATTTGCAGTTTGTTTTTTGAAAACGTCTTTGATTTTAATCGGACATTTTTGCTAATTGAGTGAAAGCTGAATCATGCAGTTCCTAGCTAAAACAGCACGATGGGGAGTATAAACCAACTTTAATTTAGAAGCAGCAAACCATGAGTGGCGCCGACGAATGGCTAGCCGCTCACTATGGATGTTTGTTTAAATTTGCACTACAGTCAATGAAGACCAATATTATGATTACTTACTGGCTGAGTTGAAAATATTGAAACAATGCCTGACAGTAGCGGAAAGTTGATAGTTTTTCCAAAGCAACATTGAGAAACGAACGCGTAGCAGGTGTAAAACATTTGAGTTTTAAATTGAGAAAACAATCTCTTAATGTATTTCGATATTCTTGATTGATGGAATGTTTCATGAAACGGAATAAGTGTTGTTTTTCTGGCTCTGTACATGTATACTGACATAATTATATGTATTCATGTAGATTCATGTTAAGTGACTAGTCTCATGAATATCTTGAGTAGTATCGCTAGTGACATAAAGCATTAGGATGATAGCTGTCGTACGTGTCTATTTTTCGTCATTCTGTTATTCAGCCGATCAAACGGTCTGTCAGCATTTCTCGATGATGATCTGGTGGGAAAAACCCAAACTCTATCTAGTTATGTAGTATAGACAGATACTACTTAAGCACATATTTCTTGATGATTTATGCCAACAGATTTGCTACTTTTTGCATGCTCATCGTTTCTCTCTCTCGTTACAATGTCTCGCACACATTTCACCACAAAATTTCTCAGGCAGGCACATCGAATTGTTGTGTTTAACGCGATCATATTCTTTCAGTAGAGGGTTAGCGACGCTAACGTCGCGCTACTTGTTTCTATAAGTAAATCCAATGGTTTTTCGTCGTCATTGTATAAACCTCGTAGCCGAATGGTAGAGACAAAAACGAAATTTTTTACACAATAAACATAGGATTATTATTTCTCATACCGAAAAAAAAGATCTTTTACAGAAGATTTTTAACAAATGACTTATTTTCAAAAATCCGTTATTATTACGCCAATCATGTTCCTAAAGTCTTGCTAGGACTAAATATATATAATTGACTTATGTAAAATTAATGAATAGTAATACAGTTAATGATAGAATTCGAAATGTCCTTTTCTTTTCAAATAAAAACTAATCAAACGAAATAATTTCAAAGATTATCGGTTGTTTACACAATGGATTAATGTTTTTATAATTTCTAAAATAACATGCGTATTAAAAGTCTTTGTACAAATGTCAAACTATGTCAGATCTTATTGCTAGCTTCTAAACGAATTAAATCTTTTTTTTTTGAGAGAGTAAAATTTGAACTACAAGTTCGTACCAGACTTATTTGTTTGGAACAAATCTACGACGCAGAAGAAACCAAAACAAAATACCTCTAAGACAGAGGTCTTGTAATGTTTTTTCAACTGGAAAAGTTTCTATTTCTCAACTATATTGAGCTACATGGATTGAATTTTAACAAAAAAATATACTAATAGGTAGCACATCAAAGGTTCTATTGATATCAGCTTTGATAAATTTTTTCAAGATCCGCCCTTAATTCTTCAATAAAAACAAAATATAAAATGGAAATTTTTGTAGAATAGAGTTTTTTTCAAGAACTATTAATTTGAAAACAGATCAACCAGAATCTTCAGAAACTATGTAAGAAATAAATTATTTATGTGCTTTGTGCGAAATACATCAGATCTTAGAAACTTAGCAGAAAAGAATAATTCAAAAAATCTTTTTTTTTAGTTACAAAACTGTTAAGTAGTAAGAAAAACCAAATTATATAGTGTCATTCAGATATAGCTATATTTTTCTAAAAACAACCAAAACTAAATTTAACTTCCAATACACCATTGGAAAGGACACTCTTTGCCCTACAAAAATCATCATTAAACATGCGTTTTCATTTAGTGTCTGATGTAAAAAATGAACAGAAAATCGAAAAAGATATTGTACGAAGGTCAAGTTGCAAGAACGTTTTTAGAGATGTTTGGTTTTTGGCTTGTCTTGCTTCATAGTTTCATTCTCAAAAAAAAAAAGTCTCGCACAAAATTTGTAGTTCAGATTCTCGTCTTTCCAACAACAAAAAAAATCGATTGGTTTAAAAGTTAGCAATATGGTCTAACACAAGTTGACATTTGTGCAAAGACTTTTCCATCGCATGTTAATTCTGAGAATTAGACATCGACCAGAAACTTCATTGAACAAAATGTTACAATAGTTATTTTTTTTCTTCTTTTAAATGTCAAACAAATTAGAATCTTCAGAAACAACAGAAACACATTACCGATATTTGATGAAAATAGACTCCGTTAAAATTTCTTAAATAAATAATTCACCAAATAAAAATGATAATTGTTAATTTATAGACGAATATATAAATTTTCAGAAACAAATTCTATTGTATTTATCATCAATAATATAATTGCACACAATCGCTTATTAAATAATTATATTCGCTATTCTAAAAAAAACTAATAGCATGAATATTACTTCTAAATTAAACATTTTATTATCATTTTTTATTAATAAAAAATGATAAGGCTTCAAATAGAATACATGCAACTTACTTGAAGTACAAAAGAATAGAATCAATTTACAATATTTTAGTTTCTGCACGTTTATTAACAACGCTATTTTTTGACACATGAATATGTTTTATTTAATTATATTGTTTGTCAATACATGTAAAATCAATATAAATCTAAATATTTTTTGTTTCTACAGTAAATATTAATATTAACTAAGCTATGCAATAATATTTGTCACTAGTAACGTTACCTGTATATTTTTTATTGCTAATGATGAAATTTCGAGTCAAGAAGTGCATGACAGAGTTGTACTTTTTCTTTTGAACTTGAAAGTTTTGGGACAACAATATAGTAACGATGCTTATTATATTGATAATAAAAATAGAATTTATCCATAAGAATTAAGCCTGAAAAGACTCTAATAGGATTAGTATTCATGCCTATCATTTTAATTGATTGCTTGAAAAAAATGGATACATGCTCGATTTTTATGATTATCATCATAAAAAAGCTCTAGAAATACATAAATCATGATTATAGTCCATAATTTTGATAAAAGCTATAGAAAAATCCATAAGAGACTCATTTGAACAAGCATAAAATAATGGAATATAATTCGAATTTTAATAAATCTATCAATAATAATTGAATTTCAACAAAAAAATTGATAGCAATAGACTACAACTCTCAACATATGTAAGATTTTTCAAAATACTGCTCACAACCCAGATCTTACATGTTTTTTAGTCAAGTATCGTTTAAAATCCTCTATATAGTTAGAGGTAAAACGAAAGATTAGAAATATTACTTTTCTTTTTTTTTCTCATGTCTTTTTATGCTTTTAAGTACCTAGGTCATAAATGTGCAGACGAATAACAAAAATTAATATTATATTGAATACTTTCTTGTTGTTAAAAAGTATCTCGAAAATTTAGAAAAGAACCTAAGAACTTTTATATTGATTTGATTACTTACATTTTCAGGTATTTCTTTGATTTCATATATTTCTTTTAACATATTTCCAATTTCATGTTGTCGAATGAAGAATTTTTCGACTATGAAAAGAAAAATAATTTGAAATATTTAAAACAAAACATTTTTCGAAAAGAAATCATTAGTTTAAACATCAAATATAAACAAATGAATTGAAAATATTCTATCTCATAGTTACCCATAAATCACAATTTTTTCATTAAATACATAATAATCAACATCTGTTAATCATCAAGTTGTCTGTTCTACATCAACAGATTCTAGGATAATATTCAGAATAATTTTGAAATCTTAGTGACAAGTTGAAGAAATCAGTGAGAGGTTGACGATTTATCGAATGGAGATGGCGGTCATTATCATGAAATGGTTTCTGAAGCCTATTCAAGTTAGTATAACCTTTTTTTTTCGCTTCTCTTGAAGAATAATGAAAAAAAAATTCGCTACGGGATAGCGACTGTTACTTTACCACTCTCTAAATTCACTATTGTGAAAGCTATTATGTATATCGATAGAGAAGCAATCAAAACATATTTGTTTGAGCATATGAATTAATATGTATCACTCTCATTTGCAATATTTTATTGACAAATAAGAAAAAATTCTCGTATGAAATAGACTATTCTCTTAAAAACAACAAACGATTATAGAAAAAACTTTTTGTTTTTTCAAAACTGAAATAAATGAAAAAAACCATGTATGTTCTTTTTTCTTCTTCTTCACATTATTTGAAATTGAATATTGTTTGTCTATGCTTTTAATGTGGCTAAGGACTTTGAACAAGCACGACAACATGATACACAACAACCAACAACAGTCATAATATAAGTTATAATTACTATCCAAAAAGCAAAATTATATAAAGTTGAATGACAATAATTAATCGATTTTTTATCATCAAAATCAACTATATTTCGAGCTCCGAATACCCAAACATTACCCTGCGCAACAAAAAAACAACAAACAAACATAATAATTAATTTAGAAATAAATTAAAATAATAATGTTTTTACTTACTGCAATAAACCAAGCAAATAAAAAAAAAGTCATTAGACAAATAATGACAATTAAAATAGCAATTACACATGTACCAAGACATGATCCAGCAATTGTATCTTGTTTATTACAACATATAAATGAAACAATCTATATTTAATTAATAATTAAATATTATTCAAAACTATAAAAACAAATAAATAAAAATAATATCTTACAATCATTATTGTCAAAGCAATAACTATTATACCACATGCACCCGTTACAATTAAATATTTCGGAATATAAGAACTCACTGGACATTGATCTTGATAAGCTACACCAATAGCTAATTCAAGAACAGGAACAATAAGAAGAATGCATAAAACAATTAAAAAATAATTTGAACCAAGCAGTAGAGATAAGAATGGTGGAAGAAATTTTATTTTTCTTTCACTAGCAACGCTTAAACGAGGTAATTTGCTATTTTTTACGTGTTCATCAAAATAATTTGTAAATGGTGGTCCACCAACACTAGGTCGTTGAATAGAAGTAAATGATCGTGGAATTTCAATTGGTACTTGTTGACGTTGCGTTGATGATGCTGGTATTGGATATTGTGCCATAACTACTCGTCTTGAAGGTCATGAACAGCAAGAAAAGGAAAAGAAAACAAAGGTAATTTTGATCACGACACAGGGTAAAGAAAAAGAACCGATAAAAAAAAGAGGAACTTGCTGTTTTATTTTCTTTCCTATTTATTTGTTTCTCTCGTCTATTTTACGTTTCTAAATTTAAATATACACTAAAAAAAATTGCTTTCGTTCGATTCCTCAGAAGAATATTTTTGTCTATGTTCACCTTTACTCTGTTGTAAAGAGAAAACGAAAACAAACATAATCTTATTTCAATCTTTGTTAAAGATTGCGAAAGAATAATGATTATTTCGATTTAAAAAAAAAAAAAAGTCCGCTAAAAAAAGTCTTCTACGCACATTGAAAAGAATTTTTTTCATCTGTCGACTAGCATTTTTTTAATCACTTACCTAGTGTCAAGAACATTTCAAATGCAAGAAATGAAGTGAAAAAAAAGGATACATGAATAAAATTTATTCAAATTTAAAGTGTTTGCTAGTTATTGGTCATACAAAGTGTAGGCGATATATTGTTTGAACATGCAATGAAATCATTTCATGACCATTAATCATCTAAAATTTTTTCTTCTAGTCAACAATGATTCTTCTTCTTCTTGTCTGATTTTGTGTCATCTTTTCAGTGTTTGCTCATTTTCTATATATGCAGACAAATAATACTACGCATTGTGTCTTTAAAATGCAAAAAAAGAAACGAAATAAAAAAAAAACTTGATACTTCTTTCTTTGTATCAAATTTTATATAAAAGAACATTATTAAACTCTTGATTGAGTAATCATGTTTTCTAGTCGTCGCAAACCTATATTATATGCTACTAGTAGTTCTACACCATCATCATCATCGAATAATTCATATATACCTAGAACTAGAAGATCACGTGTTACTTTACGTCAATTGGCTGTACACGATCTTGATGAAACTAATTCAAGAAATTGGAATCAATCATTATCAAGACAAGAAGAACTATTTCAAATTCCAAGACCAACTCTTAATATGCCACACCCATCAATACATTCACCTAATCATAACTTAATATGGACACCTAATGTGAGACCTATACATATTGAAGATTTTCCTTCATCACCAAATTCAACTTCAAGAACACATCTTTTTGATCGATCATTCTATCAAGTTGTACAACCACCAACTCCACCTCCGCCATCAATTCAATATCAAATTGTACCTATTCCATCTCCACAACCTTCACCAATCTATACTCTTCGTCACATAAAACGAAAAAAAAAATTTAAACAAGAAAAAACTCCAGGTCTATGTACAACTTTATGTGCCGGTGGTTTCGGTACATTTGCTGCACTTATATATTTAAGTTTTTGTCTTGCTTTACCAGTAACAAAACTTGCATTGGGTATTAAGTATATAAAAGATTGTCCTGTTGATAGTAAAATTCCATTATATATGATTGTATCTGGTGCGTGTGGTACAGGTATTATACTTTTTCTTCTTCTTTCATCAACTTGTACATTTTATCGATCATCAATTATTGCAAGAAAATCAACTCATAAATTTATGATATGTACTATTGCATTTGCACGTGGTATGCAAGGTATTATAGCTATATTTCTTTTTATTTGGTTTTTTATTGGAAATTTTTGGATATTTGGTGCTCGGTATCGTCTTCAAACAAATAATCCAAATGATAGTAACAATAATTATTGTCATCCAACTCTTTATTGGTTTGGATTTTATGTTCTTATTTTTACTTATGTTTATGCTATTTTTTTGTGTTTTTTAAGATTTTGTGCAAATTTTTTTTGTTGTCGTGCACATGATATATGGAAGAGAGCTTTTTCATAAATCATATCGATATCTGATTTCAGTCGAAAATAAGAATAGAATATAAGCTTCAATTGATTGACCATTTTATGATTGTGTATATATATATATACACCATACGAATAGGACAGATAAGACGACAACACCGATGAAAAGTTGGTTAATTGCTTTTTTTTTTCGTTCGCAATACATAAAGAGAGAGAGAGAAATATGCAGTTCACTTGTCACAAAAATACGACTATCACGATAGCATATAATACATATTGAACAGAAGAAAGCGAGAACAAGATGAAACGAGGTCGACATACATTCATTTTTTTTTCTGTGTACAGTAGATATGAGTAAAGAGACGATCAACGTTTAACGAAGCACTTGACTGATACAAACAGCCTTCTTTTTTCCTCTTATTTATACGTAGACAGTGCCGTCAGGCTTCTATTTCCAAATTACAAAACGAACTATAGTCTCACTCTCTTTGTCTAATTCATTATTCTATGTATGCCATATAGACATACTCAAAAGAGCAATTCTGTTCTTTTATTTCTTCACCATCAACAAGAACGAACAATAATAATACATAGTCTGCCAGTACTATAAGCCTTTTTTCTCTCTCTCATTCTTATCCTGTATATGATGGAATAGAATTACCCCATGCATGATGATTTATTGTGGCATAAGATGGCCAACGAGGTAAGTACTGTTACGGACAGAAGAAAGAAAAAGAAGAGATATGCACGTCGAACGCATCCTATATATATCATAGGGATATGAGTACAGATGAAAGCTAGTGCAGGAACAAGGCTTTTTTTTTCGATAATAGAATAGAAGAAGAAGAAGAAGGATACTAGCCTCTTGCAAACATCCTCTTCTTTTTCTTTTGTCTTATTCATTTCTTTTCATGTCTCTTGTTCATTAACTGTACAATAGGAAGAGCATTGCGTATGAACAAACCAAGATGATGCTTAATATTTCTGCCATCGAACAAACTACTTGTGACAATATTCAACATCTATTTGAGTTTATTCACACTTTGTTTTCCTTTCATCTTTTTTTTTCTTCTCTTTCTTTATATACATATATGCTTTCGTTTGTGATTGTATTACATAAGTAGACTATATGCATTGTATATATGTATACTCTTCACTATATACGGATGGATCGATCTTAATAAATATCCCCTCGGTTTTTTTTTATATAAGTAAAGGGTATATTTGTATGTTATGAACAGAGAATATAGATTAGCTCTAGAAAAGAAATAAAAATGAAAGAAATTTCATGATGGATTTATGAAAGATTTTTTTTCTTTTTTTGTTTTATCCCGATAAACATTAGTATATAGTTTACTCTACAAGATATGATCATGATTTATTTGCACATACTTCTTGTAGAGATGTATATCCTTCTCTTCTTTTTCTTTTTCTTCTCCTTCGTTGTCGTCTCCATTTATCCTTCGAGATATTGATAAGAAAACGAACAACAGGTCAATGGGATGGTCGAATGGTCACTCTTTCTTATTGTTTGATAAATCAATAACCTAGCAATTTTTTTTTACTAATACATATACATACATTTATATGAATAAATGCTTCGTATCTGTTATTCGTGCTCTTTCCATTTGTTCGATGATGAGAAGAAATAAGACCTGTTTTCATTCATATACAATTCTCTTCAAAAGAATAAAAATTCAATGTCGTTATACTCGTCGTCTTCTGATTATTCAATATCGGTTGGATAATTACGTCACATATATATATTTATATATAGAGAGAGCAGAAGCCGGTCGGTTATACTGTTCCATATACATGAATATAGAGACAGGAGTCGAGTAATCATGAATACTTTGCTTTTTTGTCCATGCTGTTTGAATTCTCTTATATTCTTTCTTTCTCTGTTTTGCATTTATTTGACATGTTCGTTCACTAGTACAGCCAGCAATGCAAGTTATATATCGCTATCAGCATATATCGTCTAGACATTACTCTCGTTTACTGTATATGTCTACATTATCAAACAGGTACTATAACTTGTATATATTCCTTTTTGTTTTAGATTGATTGATGATCTATTTATCGATTAATGGAACAGTATTTGCATTTAGTATTGAATTATACGGCATCAGTTTCTCGAAATTTTGATGATGAAAATTTTTCTGGCGAACAAGATGATAGTAAGATTAATAAAGAAAAAAGTTCTCTTTTTTGTTAAATTATTTTTCTTTTATTATTTTTTCAAGTCTCAGATACATTTGCTGTTAGTGAACTTCATTATAAAATTCCATTTTGGATCGGTGTTATTGTAATTAGTCTTCTTTTTTTATCAGCTATTATTGCATCAATCCGTTATTGTTTTTATACTCTATGTTCATCACATGCCGGTAAGTTCAATATACATTTCACACATTTTTCTTTGCCATCAAGTTACATCATATCTAAGAATACGAAATAAAATGAATCTCAATACAAACATTTCATCTTATACTCACAAAAAAAAAAAAGGGAAGAAAACGGAATAAATTCTATGTTGCCTTGACTTTTTCGTTGTCTTTTTCTTTTTCCTTTCATTCAGCTGAGCAAATACAGCCTTTCATTTTTCTCATATATACACGTACACAAAGTGTTTTTATGTGCATGTGCAATATATATATATATATATACATAGATTGGTATGTTTTAATAAAATTCAGAATTGAAATTAGACCGACAATGATAATATGTGACCATTGAAATGGTATTCATGCATGTATATATATATATGACCGAGAGTACAAACGATTGAACGAATATATACAATGGCATTGAATTACATTTATGAGTAGTTGTTGTGACGAGGCTAAGTGGTAGAGAATAGAAACAAAAAAAAAGGAAGGGAACAAAGCTGTCTGTAGTGTCAATTAATTAGAGTGGACAATCACACTATAAGGTCTATGACGAAGTGGATAAAAAGAAAAAGATGAAATAAATTTACCGTTTTCACTTTTCAAAATTTAAACTATACAAAAAAGTTTAAGTATCTTTTTTCTTTTCATTTCTTCTAGAAACAGAAAAAGTAACATTAGTACCACCAAAATCACCTTGTCTAACGACTACTACTAATACAATTCAACGTCAACGACGTCAATTGCCTGTTAATCTTTCTCATCATATATCAGATGACAATGAAAAACCAGTGTCATTTTCAGATGAATCGAAAGATCATCATTCAAATATATCAATTATACCTATTGTTCGTCAACATTCTCGACCAAATTTTACATCTACACAACATCATCATACAAATATTGATACAAAAGATATTAATAAAAATAATTTTTCGTCCATTCAATCATCACAATCTCAAGTACCAGTTGATTTTCGAAAAAAAATTCATGGTATTTATGTTTTACCTGTTTCACCTACACTTTCATCATCATCATCAACAACAAATACTGATGAAATAATAAAGAATGGTTCGAATACAATGCCTATTCGATCATTAAGACATATATCATCGTCAATAAATGTTCATAATGATTCAACATGTCGTGGTATTAAAAATAATAGTTTTGCTGATTCACCACAACCAAAAGATCGTACATTACCTCGATCTCATGCAAGTACATTACGACGTATTCAACCACCAGCACAACCTCCACCATTACCACCAACTATATCACAACTTCATTTCAATAATGTTCGTTCATCAATTAATATTAATAATGATAAATCATTAGTTCAACATCAATCAGCTACAATAGATCTTGATCATGATAATATTATTGCTCTTCGTTATAATAGTCAAAAAATCTATGGTAAATTCGAAGAAAACCATTTGAAAAAATCTTTACCACCACCAGTACCTTGTCGATCACAAAAACCGACGATGTTATCAATTGGTTTTGAAGGTTTAACAGCAACAACACAACCAGATTCAATTGGTTTTCGAGTAGCAATTGAATCATCTCCACAAGACGATTATTCTGAGCATACATGGCCAAAACCACCTGAATCAATGACAACATCAGAAATTAGTGTACCACAAATTCTTCCACCATCGATACCTTATGATCGTCTTCATCATGATCATTTAATGCCTACTGTACTTATGCGTCATAATAGTACAACTAATTTTTTTCAACATCATCGATTTGGTGAACATACTATATTGACAGAATCAGAAACATGATGATTGTCTTTAACATCTTTTTCTTTTCTTTTGTTTTATAGTTTTTCTTTTTCTTAAAGGCGAATGGCTGTTGTGTCATAACAGTACTGTATAGTTTCTATCTTGACTCTCTTGTTTCTGTTGTTTTTGTTCGCATTAATTTTAGGAAGAACCTCTTTCAAAAATTTTTTTTTGTTCATTCTTGTTGTTTGACATTTTGTTTTAGTTTATTTGAATGAATCGTGACAATAAAGAGGTACTGAATAACGAAATAGATTCGATTAGATTTTTCGAAAGAAAATGTTAAGCCAATAAAAAAAAAATATTTAGATAAAGTAATTATAAGAAGATGACCAGTAATGAATTAATATTTCAAAGTTAATAAAAATTTCCAATATTACATCGCGCGTACAGTCAGTATGATCTTCACTGAAGATCTGCATGACGTCAAATCATTATTTCGATGTTGTGATTATCGATAATGCATGTTTTAGGCAATCTTCATTTTGACGATTTTTTTCTCTCGATACTGTTAGTTTCAGCACGGGTTTTCACGATGATGTATATAACTGCAAGTCTTATTGTTTTAAAAATTATTCTTTACGGTTTACAATAATAAATTTTACTGGAATATATGAGTAGTTATATGCAACGGTGAAATCAATACTATACAGAAACATTTTGTGAAAGTTTCAAGCTTTTTTCGAGTCTTATGAAATTGAAGCTACAATGGATGTCGTTATAGTCTGAAGACGATATGAATACGCATTGTTTTTGCATGTAACGAGAGTGATTTTGTCGAAACTTTGCTAGATGAATATTTCGACTTGCAACTATATATCTATAAAGTTCGAGTTCGATAGATTCTTCTATTAGTAACAAGATCATAACAATATTACATACTGTGTTTTAGTAATAAATGAATATTTATTGAAATTAAAATTTTCGTTTATGCGTCCGTAGGAGAAATATAAAAGTAGTGTCCTGCGAGAACGATGGACACGAACAATATTAAACAATCTATGTTCTCAAAAATTGGTTTGTTTCATGTATATACTCTTTAGAATTTGCTTTTTCAACAAAAACTGTCGAAACCAATGACATGTTCTAGTTTTGAGAAATAGATTTCGATATTTTTTTAAAGACTTTTGTGTCATTTATTGATAAAAAAAAATAAGAAGAACAACTTATCAACAAAAAATAGATAATTCCATTTATTATTCATTAAATTGTAATTCAATTATCATGACTTATTTTTTTGTGATTATAGCCTTTGAAAGGATTATCATTCAGATTATCTCGTAATATAGAATTATTACTATCTTCTTCTTTTGAATATTTTCGTTTCTTCAACAATATTGTTTATGTATTAGTTGTTTTTTTAGTTATTCGATTAATGAAGGAAATAATTCTCTTAATGTAACATCGATAAATTTCGATTTACAAGTTTTTCTGAAAACAGGAATGCAAGAAGAGGAGTGAAATTTTTTTAGGAGAAATCAACAAAAGTCATTTCAGCAGAACGCTATATAAAAGTCAACATGTGTCCATTTCATTTGCATAGTATACAGTTTTTCGATTTTCTAGTCAGTCGATTTTTTAAAAATGTATGAACTAAATATGATTATGAAAAGGAATTTTTCTTGATAATGAAAATAAAATAGAATGCTGCATCGATTGTCTACTGAAAATGAAAAAAATCTTCGTTCTTTTAAATTATATATGAGAATATAACAAGCAGCATAAGCATAAAACCTAGTAGAAAACTCTTTATCTCATCTGAATATTCACTTCCTCATGCAAATACCGATGCTTTGAAGCTGAGATTTAGGAGGATGCTGCAAAGAAAACAACGTGAAATATTTACCAATATAAATTACGCCTCGTACAATAATAACAATGGAGTAAGCTTAAATGATAATAAAAGATATTCAATTAACGAATATGTATCCAGCAGAAACATCAACATATACAAATTTGAAAACAACGATATAAAAATTATTGAGACTTCAGTAAAATCAAACATGAGACCAATGATACGATTTCTGAATAATATTAGAATCTATCGACTTGGAACTTTATAGTTATATAGCACTAAGTTCATACATGCATTTATCATGTGGCAGAACTTTTACTTTTATTGTATGCAAAAACAGATAAATTTCAAAATCGTTCTGGAAACTTCTGCAACATCTTTTAACCAACAAAGTACTGAAAACGTAAAAAAATACAAATAAAATGAGGTTGGATGTGAGTGTTGGTAGAGAGACAATCACACACACACCCTTAAATTTTTAGCACTAGTACGTCTTTTTTGAACGAAAAATTGTAGTTTCATAACGTATTGGGTCGCTTTTCATTCGACATAGCTTAGTACAGTAAAACATCTATATGTGGGCACCTGTCTATAATAAGCATCTCCTTATACTGGACGGTCGGCAGCTCGTCCAAGCGAATTTTGCTAGAAATGAGCCTTTCTAATATGAGCACCTGCTTATTCTGGGCAGTGGGCGCTTATTTCTGGTCCCGTGAGCAATAGCAATCTTTGTAATGTGAGCAACATATTTTCTATCACTCATGTGCAAAACGAGAAAAATTTTATTATGTGTATTGCACTATGGTAAACAAACATGGGACGCTTATAAGAAAGGAATGGTCCAAATCATGCACATTTAAAAGGAAAAAAAATAGTATTTTTAAGAGTAATAGTGGTTCATGTAGCATCTCGTCGTGTTTGTGTTAACAGCAGGTAACATCAAATCATATCAACATGTATTGATTTATCTCTGATTCAAAAACTTGAATTAATAAAAGATTCTGAACGTTATTTATCTCAAAGAGATTTGGCAGCCAAGTATAAAGCTAATTTATATTTATCTTGATTCAAAGACTTTAGTTCAAAGTATACTTCATAGTTATTTTAAAAAAGATTAGTTTTGTGTTCTAAACAAAAGTTGCTATTTCTTGTAAATATATGATTGTTTGATTTAATAAATTGTTGTCAAAAAGAAAAAAATTATCTTGTATAGTCGAAATGTGGTTGAAGCTAAATACTTATAGGCTTTACAAAAGAAACATAAAAACTCCCAATAATGGGCACCTCCATAAAGTGGGCACTTTTGACTGGTCCCGATGGTGCCCACATTAGAGAGGTTATACTGTATATAGCTAGTATTGTGAATCCGGTTCGAAAATGAAAAGGCAGTAGAGCGAACGTCTTATAAAAGTATACACATGCGTATGGACGAACAGGGAAAAAAACATGCATAAGTTAATGTTGAGGATTCTTCCAATATGTGTCTGTGCATCAGACATGGGCATTTTTCCATTGAACTGGGTCTTTTCACATCTTGTTTTTTTCTTTAGGTTTTTACATACACGTCATTGAATTTTTCCTTTCTCTAGTATGCATCACTGTCTCTTTCTCTCTCTATATATATATATCTACACATATATATGTTCGTGTGTCTCTTGCTTTGTGTTCTTGTTTCTGTTCTCCTTGATCTATCCTTCTTTACCTTTACGTGATTAGTGTTTTTCCAATAAAACCGAACTCACGTTCACTCAGACTTACAGTTAAAAGACAAGAAGCGATTCTTTTCTTCTTCTTTTCTTAATTCTTCACAGAAAGAAGAAGCCAAGAGTGCATGTGCGATTTAGATGAAAGAAAAAAAATACGGTTACTATCTAATTCAAGAATAGATAAACAATTCTGAAAAAGTAAAATTGCAATGGACAGAAACCTACTAATAAAAATTACAATGCGCAAATCTTCAAATGAAATGTATAATTGCCTATTTGCCCCTCCCGAACTTACGCCGCTGCTGTTATTAAATAATATTTATTTTATTGTAGGATATTTTAAGACATGATTGACTTTGCTCTGTTAAAAATTAAAATTACATCTCTGTGGTTTTTATGAAGAAAATTGAAAATACTAAATTATGTCATGAAGCTTTTATAATTTCGTGAGATCTGATGTCTTGAAAAGACCTACTTCAAATTATTTTTTATATTATGGAGCATAAGAACGATAAACACCCTGCTCTTTTTATATAAGTTTATTTACATGTATGAATATCAGAACATTTAATATCATCAAAGTCAAGAAATAAAAACTGCAATATAAATCAGACAACAAATCGATAGTACCATCATTGTTATTAGAATGAATTGCTATCAAAAACTAGAAGAAAAAGAAATCTCGAATACTTTTCAGTGTATCATATTAATGGATTGATTGAACACTATTTGAATTTATATTTGATATATTTTTTTTTAGAAATTTGTTATAACAAGGGAACAACATAGAAAAATTGTACGAAAATTAATAAGAAAAACAGTCATGCTTGTTATTCCAACTAAACGAAGAAAGTCATTCTAGAGTATAAATAAGACTTACTTTATTTGGATCGAATAACAATTGAAATGAATGAATATGTTGTGTAAGTACAAAATATATCTGCTTCCCATGACTTAGTAAGTCAATTTTGTGGTAGATTTTATTTTTCTGATAAATACAATGATCAATCAAGAAAAAGATTTTTTTTTCTTAGTATTCTTAAGAAATGAAATTGTATGGATTTCATTTGAATCACTTCATGGCATGTCTAATATATAATGAACCAGCATAGAAAAGTAAACATGCAAAAGAAAATTGTGTTCATTAAGAAACAGATGAGAGATAAATGAATGACAATAGTTTATCTGGTGTGGACAGTGTACAATATGAACAATGGACGAAACCATGACATTTAAACAAAAACTTGAAATTTCACGCGAGAATAAATCTGAGGAAAATATATCACTGACAAAAATATTTATATGAACTAAACCATGTGAAATAATAACGGCTAATAAAAAAGTTCCTGAAAAACATATCGTTTCGTTTTCCATCGCCTAAAACATGTTTTGAACAAAACAAAAGTGTCCATTCAGAATCTAGCTAAAAGCGCTTTCTAACTGTATGTGCCACAAAGTTCTATCATACCTTCCTTCAAGTAAAAAGCACATTTTGTAAC